GTTTCATTTTTATACCTGTGCTCTTGACTTTTTTTTACCTATGGGATGAGTATTTAAGGGGGTTAGATTTTGATAAGTTCTTTAGTGGGAATGACACTGATGAAGACTGCACATTGTAGTCGAAATACGTATCTGTCATGGATACCAAAATTAATTAAGTGGAATTAAATGGAAGATAACCTTTTTTGCTGTTTTATTTTTAAATGGTTCATATGTTTTTTACGGAACAAATCATTTCTCAGGTCCAAATATTCATCCTGTGTTTCCGCATCTATTGAGGAAGAAAACGGATTGCGCACTACATCAGCATCTTCTTGTATCAGCTCAGGGAAATAGAGCTCACATTGATAATCCAGTGAGTGAAAATGAGCAAAAATTTATGATTAAAGATCCGAGTTTAGCTCGTACGCTCCTTTGTCAGTCATACTTCAGAGTCTATGGAACATGGCAACATTTCCAATACTAACATTTCGGGGATTGAATGCTTGAAGATCGTCTTGGAAGTGAATTAGATGGGTTTGCTAGCCCTCTGAGATGAACTAGCCATCGGCTAAAAATCTCATTTATAAAGTATTTAAAAAAAAAGTTTACAGGACCCGTCCAGCGAATTTTGATGCATACAATTCGTTGAACAAGCGAGACGCTTATGCCAACCTTCCACACTAAAATTAGCAATGAAATCATTTTTCCCTTGAACTTCCAAGAACATGTTGATTTCATTCTTTAATTCAAAGCACGTTTGCGAACATTGTCTTTGGACAACCAGCGCACAACACTATAGAAAAGAAGAAACACTTGATCTGAATTAATTTGCTTGTAGTTGTTCAGAGCTTAGTTAACAATTTTGATGACAGAATCAAGTACTTTTAACATTTGTTCCGGCAGAGTCTTGCTCTTGGCATATCGAACACCTGCGGCGTATAATCTCTTTCTGAAATCTTGATTTGTTATCAAGTATTGCTAGCAGAGTTCGTAACGGTCAGTTTGGTCAGTGACGTTTGACGAAAACCAAAAATAAATTGTCGCGGTACAAAAATCATCATTTCCATATACCCGTCGTCATTGACAAAGAGAGGCCGCAATAATCCCTTTGAACAAATCCTATCGCATCTTTTACCTTCACTTCTCTTTTTTCTATCATGCATGGACAAAAACGAACGTGCATGTGAGCAGACTAGTTACCACACTATGAGCGCTTCTTCTTTTCCCTTAGTCTTTCAATTCTCCTAAGCGTTGATAGACCAATGGTAAAGACACAAGTCTGATATTCTCAACGTTGGTGGTTCGAATTCGTTTTGTACCCATTTTAAGTTTTTTTGTGTTGCTTCCAACGATCATCTTTTTTTGTCAAACAATACGGAACGGCTGACTAAAACGTGCAGTTTTTAATTCTCTCCGAGTAACCGACAGATCTAAGAGAGAGAGTGGGAGAGAGAACGTACTGAGATAGTTTTTTTTTCACGACGTAAATGAAAGAGAACTGTTTTCATACGGAATTTGTCATGCGCTGTTTGGAGTGCGACGAAGATAGTAATACAATATTTTTCATCACTGACTAGCAAAGTCAGTGATGAAAAATATTGTATTACTATCTTCCAGGCCAGTGACAAGGCCTATACCAACAGCAGCGTTTGACAGTAGGCAGCATGTCCCGGGCTCAAATCATGTATTATGCTGTGCTGGGCCCGCTGTCACCGTATAACATGTTGCCTACGCAGCTACGCACCTACCACTGGGCTGCTATCTTCGTCGCACTCCAAACAGCGCATGACAAGAGAGAGCAACTCTCTCAACGTTGATGCAAGACAGCCCTGATTGCTAGAGCGCCGTCGGTATTAGCTCCACTTACTTTTCCCACTGTAATTCAAAAAATCAAGCTAAACATTGCATTAGGTCCTAAGTAACATTGACAGATTCTCTTCGTCGACTTTCTCTTTGTATTCCTACGGATTTGATCGATATTACATTTTTTTTGCTGTGCACTACACCACCGGAGCCAGCAAAGTTCAACAATCCATCGTTGCTTATGCCTTTGTTGTCGTTTGGAACCAGTTTTGCGAGGTAGGTGACGATTGTGCGTATTTCTCGCGTAAATTTTGAAAAGGGCCTAGCCTGAACAATACGTAAAGAGCAAATTGAAACATTGTACGTCGCGTGAAAGTGGAACTTAATGAAGGCCTAAGTACTTTTTCGTAGTTTTTAGTTTTCGGATTTGAAAGATCGTCGGTTACAGTGGCCTGCTTACTGAGCAGAAAAACGCGGTCCCAGGTCCTTACATATCAAAGAGATTTATAGTAAAATCGCTTGTGTATCGTGTATTTTGCGAAACTCGTTGTTGTCGTTGGTTCCGGGTTTGAATGGATACAAAAATTAGATCAACGGTATTATGTGATATGAGGGGCTCGGTGGCCTTAGAGCACCCGTTTTTGCTTACTGAGCAGAACATCATGAGTCTAATCTCAGGTCCATCCACAATCAAGATTCGTCAATCGTTTTATTTGTTAATATGACTACATGGTAATAACAGCAACTCGGTGATTAAAAAGGTGCTCGTCTGCCTAGTGGCAAACGTTTTTGCTTACTGAGCAGAAGACCGTGGGTTTAGTCCCAAGCTCCTTCGCGTTATATGATCGTTAGGACATTAATTCAGCTTATCGTTTACTAAAACGAACCCTGCTGCAAACCCAACCCTCTTATCCAACATCCCAGTGATTCCTCGTGGAAGTGCAGAGGTGTTTTCGGCTTCCATCAAAGCGAGTGTCATGTCAACACAATCCTTCCCATTCCTTTCTTGACCTGTGTTCGGGCGCGGCCGGCGCTGGTATTGCCTAATTTAAGATCACCAGTTTTTACACATTGAGGATGATTGCTAGTCCCAAGCATCGTCTATTGGTTCTCTGTGTAATTACAGCTGATCTGGAAATAACAGAGTAGCAACCGTGGGCGGTCAATCAAGCTCAAGCAAGCTCAAGCTCTCTTTGTATTCCTACGGTCATGTAAAGACATTTCCAGGTATTTTCAGCACATATATCGATAAAAGAAGCTTTTATCTAGCATCTAATATGACAAATACAACAAGAAATGGTTATGTGCTCAAGTTATTAACGAAAGAGAAAGTCGACGAAGAGAATCGATCAATATTACTTAGGACTTAATGCAATGTTCAGCTTGAAATGTTTTGATTTTAGCCATGATATCGTCACTTTTAGCATATTTGTTTAGACCAAACAAACCAAGTCCCTCGCGGCCCCCTGTCGGCCGCGGACCACCGGTTGGTAAACACTGTTTTAGACGATGCTTGGCGTTCACTAATTTTTCAGAAGTACTTCTTGAAAATTAATAGTTCAGTGCCAACATTTCAAAGGGGCGTAATTGCATTTGTAAACAATGGCTTTAGCCATCGATTTCTCGCGAATAAAAGCTCACTCATGAAAAATAATGACACCATTAGGTAGAGGAATGTTTCCTCTACCAGCTAGCATTGTTATTTTGAAGAGGTAAGATTTCATTCGCGAGAAATTGATGGCTAAAGTCATTGTTTACAAAAGCAATTACGCCCCTTTGAAATGTTGGCACTGAGTTTATGATATGATGGAATCGATAGGTAAAGAAAATTCCGATCGATTGTCGCAAAAATATTGAAAATGTATCATGAATTAGCCGAGTTATAATCGTTCAAAACCTGGCCACTTTTCGTTACATATTCATTTTTCGTACTTGCTACCTCGATATAGAAAACAAACGTAGTGCTACCTCAAACGCGCCATAAGAGACCTTGATGTTGGATTATCGAGCCGTTGATTAACGAGAGCTGGATTAGCGGGGGATTCTGTAGCTGCAACATTATGTATTACAGTCTATGCTACTAAGCACTACAGATTTCCCTCCGTGCGATGGGGTGTGTTTAGCATACCTTTGCTAACATAGCAACATCAGCGACGCCGTAATTCGTTTAATTGTGTGCAGTTAATAGAATACTTGAGAAAGAAGAACGTCAAAAACAGACCTTGGCACAGACATATGCACGGCGGGAGGGTTTCTTTTTTTCATTATTATGTACATTAAAAAAACCGTACTATCCATGTGGCCAGTCCTATGCAGTGCAGTGTGTGAACGTTGCGTTGATCGTCAGTAGACTCGTCGTTGTAAGCTAAAGGTGCAAGAGTCAAAACAGTCGGGTAGTTGAATTTGTGCATCTGGTAAAAAAAGTTGCACTTTAGAGCATAGCTCCACAACTTGACACTGGTTGACCGATCTCCGTGTCTCCTATCCCATCCCGTCCGTTTTGTGTGGTGTTTTTTTTCAGTTTATTTTTCTCGCTCTTGCCCGAGTTTACGGTTCTATGGACTGGTATGTATGATGCCCAATACCCACAGAATGGATGGTGTCTGAATCATCATCAGCAGTTGATTTCGTTGTCGCGTTGTGGAAGTACCTAAGTCGCGTATGGTACGCAAAAGTTCATAATAGTTCACTTCAATTAGCGAGTAGGTGTAGCTTAATTACAAAAGTGAGATATTCCAGTGCCCGTGGAGTGATTTCTCGTGGACAGTGCAGGAAAGTTCAAGCAGCGACAAAAATAAAACGGTTCCAATTGACTGGAGCCATTAAGAGAGGACCATTCTCTTTTTTCACGCTTATATCATATATATAAGCGACGAAGAATATATTAATAGAAAACACACAAGTGCTTTAGTGGCACTTTGTATGTGTAGTGGTTAGTGTTTGTTGTTGTTTTTGCTGGTGGTTCGTCGGACCTAAACCGCAGCAGCCAGCAGCGGACGAACGATTCAGCGCGTACAAGTCAAGCCAGTAGTCCTACTTTCACATCGGTTGTCGTACGGTCGTTTATGCCTTTGCCGTCCCGCGGCTGTTGTCGTTGATTCCTTATACTTTACTTTGAAATTATAGTTTTCCTCTTGTAGCCGAAACGTGTTTATGCTAAAAAGTTATTAAAAAAAAAGTGTGCAGTGAGAAAAGCAGGAAGAGTGGAAGTGTCCAAATGTTTATGATTTTATGCACATGAGAAACCATTTTGTGCAACAAAGTACGGTGCGCCACCGTTCGCTCAAGTGTTGGTACCCAGAGATCGTGGTTTAGTCACCAGAAGGTAGTAGTGGCCCCAAAGAAGATAAAACATAAAAATAAGAGTATAGAGAAGGAAAATCAAAACGATCCAAAGCCAGGCTAACGGGGGCCGCAGAGCACTTTCCATTCTCATGCCACTGGACAGCGGTTTGCAGTAAAGAAAAAGTTGATGTTGACTAATCTCGTATTAGGTGAGTGGAGATTTTCAATTCATGATTTTTCAACGCAGTCAGCGAACGTGTGCGCCCAGTTAAGCGCACTATAAAACAAAACGCTACTTTGGACCCACGGCAATGTTGTCAGATCTAGACAAACGCGCATGTTCCTCTATGCTACTGCTGTTGCATTTGCGTTGCTCGATGATAGCTGTTGTTTTTTTCTTTTGCTTTTTTATTTTATTTTTATTTTTATTTTTAAGAAACCCATGTAATGCTGCATGTTTCTTAGCCTAGGTAGGGTATACGTCCCTAACCTCGGTCTAATATGCAGCCATCGATTACGTTTTTAATCATAACTCATCAATGAATTTACCTGCAAACGATATTCTACTGCTAAATGGTATGCTTAGATATGCTTATCATGTCGTTTGCTATCAGAAACCACGAAAAGTTGAAAAACTTACTTTTTTTAAGACAATAACTCACGAGGGAAATGTATGTAATATGGGTCTATTGTCCCCAAATTGGGTCTATTTATGGATGCAACTTCGTCCTATCTTGTTTGATCCTCAAAAAAACGCTCTTGGTAACGTTTTCTGATGTATTTTTTTTTATCACTATCACTGTTAACTTAATGCTCTTCATTCCTCAAAACATTTCTTAGAGAAAATTTTACGAAAACTACATTAAATCACTCAATTTAAAAATTAAAAATTAAAAATTTCGCTTATCGTCTTTTGACCGCAGAATATCTAAATCAGAACATTGTGATGTTCATTATACAGGTTTGGCAGAAAAAATCTCCCTTCCTGTTCGTTCCTTATCATCCAAATGCAAAACAACATTGTTGACGTTACTCTTATTGCTATATGCTGTCAAATGAATTTCATGGGCCATAGTTAGGAACATAGAAAAGAAATGTGTCCCTAAAGTTGGGTCCATGTTTTACTTGTGAAAACGTTGTTAAACAATTAAAATAAACATAAAATATTCAAACAGCAACTGTAAGTTTTACGTCTAGTGTGTATTATCAGGTAATTCCAATCAATAAATGCCATAATCAGGCCATTTGATGATCGTCAGTCAACCTTCCCATCTTAACCTTATAAGTCATGGCGGCTAAAAACTCCGAACATTGTGATATTCTCAACCAGTTTTATTACTTACGAGAGCTGAAAATGTATTGAAATGTTGTGATATAAATTGATTTGTGTGTGGTACACATTTATCAACCATCAGTGATCAATATTTTCCTTATTTTTTGTGTAATATTCCTTAATTAATTATTTATTTGCGTGATAGGCCGAATGAAAGGACTAGACCCACATTACATACCGTAACCCTATCTTTACCGTTTTCCTCGATATTGAAGAGAGCGCTGCTCGAAATGGCTTTTGTTCGAAAACATCAAAATTAAAAAGCGTAAAGTACAAGCTTTGATTTCTAATATTTGTGCAAAAAAAATGTTTCTCTTCAAATGGTTTGCTTTTTTCCTCATTTTGAAGAGTACGGGTAAATTTGTTATTTACTTTAATTTAAACGTTTAACACTTTCTTCGATTACCTTATTTGGGATTGTATGAAAATTATACTCAACTCTCCAAAACTGTGGTATTCCCTAAGTCGATATCGCCGTTGGCAGCCCGAGCAAAGTCGGTTAACAAAATGAAAGCAAATCGATATCAAAGTTTGCTTGAACTAACGATTATTGTTTATTTGTATTGTTTAACACATTTTAGGTCATTCGTGACTTGTCCGGGGTGAGATTTGTACTCAAGTCTTGCAGCGTGAGAAGCATGGGTGCTAACCATGTACGTCAGGCCCGTATTCAGTTAAATATTATGAATGCAAAATCAGCAATGATTGATTGAATTGAAAACAGAAATAGTTTTCCGTTTGATTCAACAGTGTAATATGTTGCTCTCGTTTTTGCTGTGTTATCGTCAATCCATACAAAACGAGACCAACAGTAGTAATAAAAAAAAATACATCATAACAGAACATTTCGATTGCAATTTGATCTCAAACATTGCGCCACCCTCTCAGATTTCAATGACACTTTGTGACACAATGACACTTCTTTTCAAGTAATGTTGCGTGCTTATTTACTTGTTAACATACTCTAGACTACCAAAAAGCTTAACTTTCTTCAATTGTTTACATAAAAATTGAAAAGACGTACCCAAATTTCGTCAGAGTGTTTATTTCTACTCAAACATTTAATTTCTTCACTGAACAAAATAAAAATATTGGAAAATTTTAATAGATTTTTCTCAAAATCTTTTTTTTTTATAATTGGGTGATTCATACTATTTTTGACGGCACTCACCACCCGAGGGTGAGCCGCCTTCGATCGTATAGGCTGGTGGAAAATCGACTTCAGAATGTATGGATAAACTCACTTTTAATTGAATATAATGGCCCATTTTGTCCGTTACGTTATTTCTGTATAATGCCGATATTACTATAACGAACAAAATGTAGAAATAAGAATACATATTAAATGAAAAATCTCAGATTTTCTCTGATTCTCCAAACAGAAAATCTGGTTTATCCACCACTGGCGGGGCATACAAAATGAACTAGCCAAAGAGCTAAAAATCTCGCTAATAAATATGTAAAGCATTAACATAAAACTGGCCGGGTGACATCTGTCGGTTTCAACGATGGAAAATAGTATTCAATCATGAAATTTTTTTTTTAGAAAGATAGCTAACCCCCTCTATTGTCCAATTTTTTCTGCATGCTTAGCAGGCAATAATGTTGAAAATTATTTTAATCTAGATTTATTAGGCTTGTTTTTTTAATTTTTAAAGATTTTTTTTTAATTTTCATTATGTTTGTTTCAATTAAAAAAAAAATGATTGCTAGAAAGCAAATTCTGACTTCAAAAATATCTGTTCTGTAAAAATATCAATATCCACATCCCTCAGGGCCCCAGGAAAACAACCTGCGATACAGCAGACAGAATGATAAAATGTTGAAAATTATTTTGATCTAGATTCATTGGGCTTGTTTTTTTTTTAATTTTTAAAGGATTTTTTTAAATTTTTATTTTGTTTGTTTCAATTAAAAAAAAAAACGATTGCTAGAAAGCAAATTCTGACTTCAGAAATATCTGTTCTATAAAAATATCAATATCCACATGCCGAGGAAAACAACTGGCTAGCGGAGATCTCGACTATTTGAATTTAATTGATGTGTTTTTGAAACGGATGGATCTGAGGATTTAGTAGTTAGTGTCATCTTGTGTTTTCCCAAGTTGTTAACTGCCCATCGGTGTACCCTCATGTTTGTCTTTTTCATCAGTATGTCGCTTAGTTCGAGATCAAGAGCACATTGCTCTCCAAACCTTGTGTATCCCCTTCGTTACAATTTGTTACCCCTAACCTCGAGATAGTCGCGAGTAATCGGCCCCCGCTAATATTGTAAATATCGGCTCCGCAAAGCTACAGCAAATGAACCTGGAAAAATAAACGCATTTAAGAAAAAAAAAATTCAATACGATGGAATTTTCTTTTTGAAGTTAAGAGCATTTTTTCAATGAAATACTTTTTTTTACTGAAATCCATTACATTTTTTGTATAATTCGATAATTTGTCCAGGCTCATTAACAGTAGCTTTGCGGAGCCGAAATTCAGTTTTTGTTTAACAAAATTACTTAAAACTAAGATTAGTAGAGTGGGGCCAATTACTCGCAGCTTGCTCGAGATTAGGGGTAACAATTGGTAAACAGTATGATGGAGTGCTGTGAACTGAGAACACAAGATTTAGGGCTGCACTATGGTACTGTATGAGTAACCCAACTAACAATTTTCACAATGTAAACGCTTTACTCAGTTCATTTATACAGTCTCAAGCTGTATTCAAACGTTATACGATATGAGGAAACCTTTACTTAACCTCTATACAACCTAATCTGGCGAACTTAGTCAGCTATTTATGGCTGTTGGAACGGTCGCGAGAAGCTCTTATTGCATATCCATTAACGCTTCTATACAGCTGAACTTGAACTTGAAAGGCGCTTATTTAACCTTTCCTTGTTGTCCAATAATCACTACACAGCTTTCTCTTGAAGCCGGGTTAAATACTGTTTACGCTTTTTTTATGAAGGAATTTATTGAGTTTATTTTGCTGTGAAATCAAATTTATCGAAATTAGTTACAAATCATCACGAAATTATTTACCCTGCACCGAAACCTGGAATCAAACTCGAGACGACCTCATTTGCAAACCTTGACACTACCAACTGTGCTACGCCAACACTTTGAACTTATGTAAACAAATCAACATTCCCTTCTACAACAAAATCTCTGAGTAGAGGCTTTATAATAGTGCACATGAATCACTTTTCTCGACTAGTTATAAAAGAGCAGAGTAATAGCTGTAAAACTGCACACGTCTAAAAATAAACCTAGTTGACTGTGAAAATGCTTCCGAAGTTGCTCTAACACAGTTTATAAGCTGAGTACAGGTTGTTTAGTTGTTGAAAAAGCACTTTTGATGTTCATGTTATTCATCAAGAGTTGTTGGTTGTGTAGAAGCCATCAAATGGGTAATATATTCACTTTGTTAGCTTTGTTTTGCAGCTACAAGTGGAAAGTTGATTAGTGTGTGTATAGAAGTGACATTAGCGTTTATTGGCTGATGTTATTCAGTGCGACTGACAAATTGAATAATGGTTGTGAGAAAGTTGAGTAAACGCTCTCCAAAACTATTTTTGCTAAGCTTTTGCTTGTAGCTGTATCTGCAGCTTCTTTTCAGCTACTTTACAGCACAACGCTGGAAAAGTTGGCTTACAAAACTGAAAATGTTATGAAGTAATGAAATTGGGTTGTTAGCGGAATGCTTTAATAAAACAGCAAAAAAGGTTATCTTCCATTTAATTCCACTTAATTAATTTTGGTATCCATGACAGATACGTATTTCGACTACAATGTGCAGTCTTCATCAGTGTCATTCCCACTAAAGAACTTATCAAAATCTAACCCCCTTAAGTACTCATCCCCTAGGTATAAAAGTCAAGATCACAGG